GAATCAGTAGCTGTAATCTCATTAGAGAATAAAGGAATTATTTTTAATTCCTTCAGAAATGCATACATATGTGGATATACAGGCTTCCTCACTTACTGTATTGATAGTTATTTTTTAGTAAAAACTAAGATCAAGGAATTATAAAGGCGAATTCATTTTGATACGTAACATCGGTTATCATCACTCCCTAAGAAATCATCCCCAGGCGATAACCAGGACCCGGAAGGCCCCTACTCCTGGGGCGTACAGAAAGAACAGGCTTGAGGAGATCTGTGAGAGCTAAACCCACACAAATTAGCCAGCAAAGACTCAATCGTCAGGCTCAAATTAAGGAAGTAAAAAAGAGGGAGTAGCCATTGAACCAGGACAGGTACAGGAAAAAAACAAGGAACCTATCTCGGCGATACTAGACTTAAGGAACACCGCCACCCCCTCCGTCTTGGATCACAGCTAGAGGCAAATGAAAAAAACAGCCTAAATGTAAAACCTCCCCATAGCCGCTAAGGAATAAAGTATGACGACTCCAAAATAAACACTAGAGGAGGTTACATATCCCAGATACCCGAGCAGGTGAGTCGAATGCGCAGACTAATCAAAACTACCCCAGTCAGGTTATAGGAGGAGAAGTAAAAGGGACCTAAGGACTTAATGCAAATAACGAAGCCGTAAAGAATGAAGGTTAGGCGTAAAGAAACCAACTGCGCACCAAAGCTTAAGGAGTAAGAATTAAAGAGCCCCCTAATAAAGGCGAGGCGAGGGGAACGGCCACCCAACAACCCAAGCTTAGAGGACAGAGTATGAATCCTAGGGCTTAACGCGTGTATACTAAATGGTGACGACTAAATATTAAAAAAAACATCCGTAGATTCTGAATGGGACAGTCCAACAAGGGAAGAGTAAGCGTAAGAACTACGGAGTAACCCCTAAGACTGATCACTAAGAAGTACATAATAGAGGAGGAAGTCTGAACTCCAAGTCAAAACCCTTAAGCACTACGCCATAGGGGAAGAACAGTATGGGCTATAGACTCAAACCAACACCAACAACTCTGAAAAAAAAAAACAGGGGATCGGCCGCCAGAACACTGACAACAGAAGAAGCTCATGTAATCCCTGCGAGGATCACCACTAAATGCGGAACCATGATACCCAAAACGTAGCCCTCATAACGGAATCACTAGAGAATAAGGGATAATCCCTAAGCCGGGAGCTAAATATAACGAGGCCTCCCCATCGCCTTGACCAAAAGCCAAAGAACCTAGACCATATACCCCTAAACAAAAAAGCTAAAAGCTGACAAGTAACTCATGAACCTGAACCCCCCCCCTCTTAAGCCATAACACCTAATAACTACAAGCTGAAGAACAGAGAGTAGCAAAAGAACCTCCAAGTCCAAGAGGATGAGGAATAATGGACGACACCTGAACACCAAGAGAAAAAACAGGAACTTTAACCTAGGACCAATGGACTCGAAGTGCCAAACAAGGACAACCTCCCCCCACAGCCACAAAACGTCCATATAGACCCTAACCGTACATGACTAACCCACCAGAAATATAAAATGAACACTAACCCCAAACCAAAAAAGGGAACTCCCAAACTTAGCACGCGCGGGCTGCCCTCTGGACCCACACACCTAACCAACAAGAATCAAATAAAGGAACTAACGCCTAAAACCAAAAAAGGAAGGCCTGGACCTAGAAATTAGAGACAAGCGGCTAATCCGGATCCGATAAAACCTCAAAACTAAACCATGACCCCTAGACCCAAAACCCAGAGGGGTGAAAACTGAAAAATAACCCCTACACCCGGATCCCTGAACTCTAAACACTAAGCCCTGACCCCAGCCCCTAAAACCTGAACACTAATCCCTGAAACTAAACATAAACCCTAAACCCTGAACCCTAAACCCTGAAGCCTAAACCCAGGAATGCTATACACCGAATCCTGAACGCTAAACCATGAATCCTGAACCGTGAACCCCGAACCTGGAGCCGTACCGCCTAAATCCTGAAACTATAAACCTAAACGTTGAACCCTAAACCTAAACCCTCAACTCTGAACCTTAAACGCCCAAGCCCCAATTCTAAGCTCTGAACCCTAAACCTGAACCTAAACGCTAAACCTTAGATCCTGAATCCTGGATTCCTAACTCCGAAAGTCAACTCCAAACCCTAACCCCTAACCTCATCCCTTCAACTTTAAGGCACCTACACGGTTATGTTGTTTTCTTAACTCCTAACTCTAATTTTCAAATTAACCCCGCCCCTGACGAGACTTGTGCCTCATGTCCTGCTACGGAGTCCGCCACCCTTCCCTTGTGAGTCCCTTAAACTACGCTAGCACCTCCCACCTTTCACCTTTTCCGGCTTAATGGGGGTCGAATGGGCAGCTATTACTTGATAGTTTTTGGTTGGAGGAGCCTTTATTAACTGCACTCTTTTTATCTACCCTAGGTGGGCTGACCAGAGTTGCTGACGACTGTGTGTTGAGGGGGCTGTGCTGGATTGAAGGAGTCTTAATCATCCTGAGGGCCTAATGTACCAAGAGGTACATCTGCTAGACTCCTCCTTTGTCCGAACGTGAAACCATTGCTTCTGTCTCGCTGTGTGTGCTTTCAATCTGATCCGTAGTCTGTCTTCGGGTGCCTTGTGCCCAGGTCCCCTTAGAGGCCAGTTTTGACTCCAGGCCTGAACCCAATGTCCTCCTCCGCTGTTTCCTCCCAATGGTTTTGAGTTGCTTGACGCTTTCCTGTTTAAGTGGCCGGAGTTCTAGACCTCTTAGGTTCGGCCCGCCTGACGTAGTGCGTTCTCCTGTGTGGGACCCCCTTCGTTCGACTGTATTGGTGACTTCTACGTCTAGCTCGTGGGAACCTGGAGCTTTTGCTACTGTTCCTACTGGCCCCTGGTATCTCCTGGTTTCTAAAGGCTTGGGGAATCTCTTAGTCTACCGCTGCAAATAGGTGGGTCTGACGTGTCTCCACTGGGGTGTCTTCGGGGGCGGGGTGGGCTACGAAGGTCCAGTCGGGGCTTCTTGCTGGTTTGTTGAACTTCGGCTGCTGAGTCGGGGGCGTTTTTTCTCCCTTCCTAAACCCTCCGGAGGTTCCTAATTTCTTGGTATGACTTGATGGCGCGGCCTGGAGTTGGGATTGGGCTCCTTCTTGATGAGACCTTTTCACTGCCTTCGGTGATGCCCCGTTATTTCTCTATCAAGAACAGCTTTTGTCGTCGTTCTGTCGTCTGGGAGGGATCTGACCCTCACTTAGTACTTCTTCTATATCCTATCCCTACGGTCGCAATAGATACCCTATCAGGCGCTTCTTGTGGGTTTTGTAGATCTGGGTGGTTGATTTACTTCTCTTTCCATATATTCGATAGAATCCATACGCTGTGATTAATAACATTACTGCAGCACTCAAACCTCCAAGGACCTGTCCTATCATGGCTCCCTTTCGCTCCTCGGAGTCATTAGATTGCGGTAGGGATCCTGAAGCGGTGGGCTGTGGCTTGTCGCTCGGGTTGCTCGAGTTGGCTTCTTCCTTAGGGTATCTGCCATTCTCCTGATGCCACCGATGTTGTCTTTCGTGCGGGCTGTCTCCTGTCAGTGCTTTGGGCCCCTGGTACTTGTCCAAGGTCGTGGAGTTGTCTCCTTCCCCAGTTGCTCCTGTATCACTTCTCGCGTTATTGTCTGAGTTGGAGTTTTCCGCAACTTTCCGGTCCAGCTGCTCCTGTGCTTTCATTTGTGCTGCTAAATTTGTTGGGAGTGTTTTTGTCCCTGAGCTTTCAGCAGACATTTGGGACGCCTGAGGGGGTGTATCTGGCTTGACTCGTTTAGCTTCATCCTGTCTTGATAGATCCGGGTTTTTGTCCTGAGGCTCCTCTGTTGGCTTGGACGATGGTCCATCCTCTGTCTTGGAAGGATCACAAAAGCAGAAACCCCCACCTCCTTCACCTTGGCCTGGACATTCTTTCACTTCTTCACAATATTCATACTTCTCCTTCTGTGGTGGACACTTGAAACATCTGTACCGGCCGAAGTTTATTTTCTCGCCCAGGATCTGTTGCAAACCTGTCTGTGGACAGCTAGGACAAAACTCCTCTAGTACCTCCGCAACGCTTATTAGTAAAGCTAAACTCCTCACACTACATTTCTTGAAGTCATCCTGGCCCTGGCAGATTTGGCCGCTTCTCTGCAGTCTTGACCATGCTCCGTCCCTTAGGATCACTACAGGTTCTTGGTCCTCGTAGTACGCCTTTCTCATGTTTTCACATCTTTCCCATACATTATTTTCTTTGCTAATCAGGTCTCCCCCCGTGCCCCATATCCAGTACACTATGCAACCAATCATTGGCAAAAGTGCTCCGCACTCACTGTTTCTGTCACAAGGCTGATGGGTCTTATTCCCTATGAAGCTCCTCCAAAACCTCCTTTCGCATCTGCCCAGATATTCGTCCATGGTGCCGTCGTTCTTTTTGTCTACGCTCTTTTCTAGACACCTCCTTATAACTGCATCGACTATATCGCTCCACTCGATTGTTAGCTCTCTACCCTTGGTTCTCAGGTTGCTCTGATTAAACCCTCCTGATTGGTGGCTCCAGTCGCTTTGGCCTATACCTAAGATTCTCGGCCAATCCTTGCCCCCATCTTTTGGTCTGTCATTCCCCCCTACTGCCCTCGGGAGCTGATAACAGTACTTCTCACTTGACTCGTTGTCACAGTCCGAGGAGGTGACGAGCTGTCTCGGCTCTGGACCCACCCACTCATACACCGCCTTTTGACTCATGACGCTCCTTGGGGGTTGGGGGTATTAGAAGCAGATTCCTTTTGGGTGAGCTTCTGTAGGACCTTATTCGCTCCTTAGTCCTTTACTCTGGTGCTGATTTAACTCCGTCTTGTACCTGTCCTGCTCTAGGTCCTTCTGACTTGGCCGCTTCCATTGGTAGGTTCCCTTGGATGTTTTCTTCTTTCCCCTATTCGTATTCCCGGCCTGGGGTTGCCCTGTTGTTTATTATCCCGAGGACCTGTAGGATTTCTCCGTTTCGTTCCTGTCATTATCCCACCCTTCTATCTCCTTCGCTCGGTTTGGTCCTGTCTCTCCCTTCTTACGCACTATTTCTAACTCCGCGACGCTTTGTCTGAGGATGATGTACTTCACCTCTGCCTTTATGCCCTGGAGTATCTGTTCCTCCTGTCCTCTTATTTCTCCCTCCCTCACCACGATCTACGACTGCTTCTCTTTCCGACCCGTGAAGCGGTAGACCATCATCTTTGGGTCCTTTGGCCCTACCCCTTAGCCCCAGGGAGATGGTTGAGACGTACCTTTTGACTTGTCCGATATTTTACCCGGCTGCGGATGTAGTTCCTGAAGTTGGGTTCGAGTCTTGATTTGTTGGGCCCACTGACGATACTCCTCACCTGCATGGACATCGGCTGCTGCCTCCTCCGCTCCACTCCTAGTGACTTACTTAACCATTCTTGCAGCCGGCTGCTCCCTGGGGGGGTCCATCCTTTCTCCTAGTGCTGGGGGGATCCTCCTTAAACTTTTCTGCTACCTCGGGATTTGACTCTGAGTTGTGTATCTCTTGTTGCCTTGAACTTATTCCTCTTGGGATTCTATTCTAGCTCCCGGGGCCCGCCCCTGTCTTAGCTGCTCCTTAGTTGTCATGATCTGGAGTCCCCCTGTCAGACTAGATTTATATTGCTCCTTTATTCAGTCTCCGTTCCTAAGCCCCCTCCCCTTCGTCAGGGCCTAGACCTTCCTCCGTCCCCAGCCTCTTGAAGGCTCCCTGTCGTGGAAGTTCTATTCCACCCTGCTCCTATGGGGGGCAGGATCTACATGTTATTATAGGTTTTTTATTGGGAAGGAAGCGCTGGGGGGGTGGGGGGGGTTCGTCCTTTATTTCTTAGATGTCGTGGACGTGACTCTTCACTTTTGTGATGAGATTGACACTCTGACCGAACTTCGCTTGGCATGCTGCATTGAGCTTTTCTCTTCGATGGACTACTCTAGATTGTTAATTTGGTGATTCGCGCTCCCCTGTCCTAGGCCCCTGGGGCGGCTCCGATATGGACTCTCAGATTTAGTAGTGCTTTCCGTGCGTCGAATGCTCTTGGTCTTTTAGTTTAGGATCTTGGTATTTTGACTTTCTCCTTGGCTTTCTTTGGGTGTAGGGGGGTTGCTCTTCCGCACGGGGAATGTCTGCCTATTTGCTTTGTTCTTCCCTCGTCCCTATCATTGCTGACCTGTCTTATTCGGGCAGCTTCCTGATTTGTCGTCCCTATTAGGGGAGGCCTTCTCCGATTCTATTTTGATGACTCCTGACTTTTAGAGGAAGATTTTGTGTTTTATTAGTCTCTTATATTCAGCTTTAGTCTCGTCCTTGTAATTTCTTCTATGAAAGAGCTGCTCCTGGAATATCCTCACCCTTTCCTCTCCTCAGAACGTTTAGGTGCTCCTTAGTCTTTCCTAAGAACCCTCCTGTTTCTGGGTCCTAGTCTCTCATGATATTGTTCCTGGCCGATTCTTCTTTTTTTCTTGCCTGAGAATTTGTCGGTCATGTCATTAGGCTCCAGCCATTATGTCCAACTTCCTTAAATTGCTCATTCGCCTGTTATTTGAGCCTAGTCTCCTCCTTTGACGGAGGATATCTGAGCCATTTGATGGGGTTTGTTCAGTTTCTAATCATGGACTCCTTCAGTTTACCCGGATTACTACGCTCGGATGCTCCTATTAACTGTTGGGTCCAATTTGGGCCTACTTCTTGATTCTTATCATTCCATCCTTCTTGCTTGCGCCTCAGTTAGGGGCTTTTGGTCGTCCCCGAGGGTGGAAGCTGATTAGGGGAGCTAAGATTGTTGTCCCCGGGGATGTGGGTTGTTGTTTTCAGGATTATTCAGGACGGCTCACTCCAAACATTTGATTCTTCCTCACTGTCATGATATGGGAGATTGGCTTGTCTTCTGGAATGGCCTTCGGCTGTTTTCACCTTGGGAGGAATTAGTCCCCTGTCTGGAGTTTGTCCGGAAGCCACCTTAGCCCCTTGTCTTGAGACTCACCTAGCTTGGCTCCCTTTCCCGTTCTGTCTTTTTTCTTTTCCTGGGTTTTGATCTACCTGAGGTTGGTTATAGAGGTTGGTGTAACTTTGAGCTGAGAATTCATAGACCCCTTGCTGTTACGTGGATCTGATGAGTGGGTTGGTCAGTTCTTTGTGAGTGCGATCCTACATTACATAGTTAGGAGATTCTTCTGATCTCGCCCTGGTTTGGGAAGTTCGGCTTCTGCGGATTATTTTACTAGTTTCTTGGTTTAGTTTTCTGGTGGGTGCTTTGCTTGATGGATTTATTTCTCTGCCTGTTTACTAGAATTCTGAGGCTACATTTGTCTGGGGCTTGAGAATCTAAAGGTTTGAGCTTTCTTTGGCGGGGTAAAGCCTTACGTAATCACCCGGTTACCTGATCATCCTATAGAGATTGGTTAGGTCGCTAACTCGGTCTTATTGGTCTGACACTTGCTTAATGTTATTTTGGCTCAGCTGCGGACTTGGCACTAGAAGTTGGGGGGAATTAGGTAACTCCTGGTCTACTTGTCGTATTTGGGTTAGAGGTTCGTTATGAGTCTTTCAGTTTTTTATTAACATACAGGGGAAGGAGAGCTCGGGATCGCTGACTTTACTTCGGGCTGATTTGGACAATTAGTCCTCCCGTCGGGTTTGTTACTGTTCCTTGATTATTTTAGCTTTTCTTACCAATTGGGAGATTTGGCGATGAGAGATTGTCTCTGGGGGGGTTTTGGCCATTATTCGGGCGGGGGTTGTACTGACCTGTTGGAGTTTGATTTTTTTGTTGGGGGGTGTTCTTGGGGGTGTTTTTATTTTTTCTTCTGGCTGTGTTACTCGTGTTCTTGATTGAGAGGGAATTGCAGGGATTTTAGTCATTCTTTTGGGGATTGATGGTTATATTTGTCGTGTTTGTTCTTTGAGTTCGATCTCCTTGATTACGGGCTGGTGATCCATGGGTCACTTGAGGATAGTGTTGATTTGTTGAGTGGCTTGAGTTTCTCCTGGACGCTTTGGGAAGAATCCGCAATTAGGTCAACTAGAGAGTGCGGCCTTATTTTTGATAACCGTGAGGCTTCGGCGGGGGATCTTTGCTTGCCAGTGTGGGCAGCTTTTTCTTTTCTTATTTAGTTTGACGTACCCTGATTTTGGCCACTTTGTCTTCATGGTTCTATTCTGGCTTGGTTGGATCTTTTATGAGTTGCTTCCTCTGGGGGGGAGTTGCTGCTGTATAGTGTTGCGTCGCTCTGTAATTCAGTCGTTGGGGGTTTGAGTTTAGGAACGTTAAATTGAATCTTCCCCTGTGCTTCCGTGGCCTCTATTAGGATAGGACCCGGAGGGGGGGGTCGGGTTGGAATTGGAGACTTTGCTGGATTGGTTTCTTGGGAGTTTCGGTTCGGACTCAGGGGAGATGCTTCTGTGCCTCTCTGGCTTGTTTTAGGAAGTCTTATTTTGGATCCGGGATTTTACTCTGTTTGTTAGGGGTCTGTTCAGGAAGACGGTTGAGTGAGCCCTGATGGTTTGGATTGATTTTTAGATTTTTATGTCCAGGATCTTGTCACGTCTGGCTGCCTTGTTGCTGTGGGGAATTTTTGGACGCTGGTTTTTGTTGGGGACTTACTATTCCGGGTGGGACTTGGATGTTTTTCGTTTAGTTAGACTCTTTTCGATATTATGGTGTTTATTATTACCTGTATATACCTTCTGATTCTTTCTCGTAGCTCTGTTTCTTATAATTTCTCCTTTATCGGAATGGTGTAGTTTTTCTCAATTTCCCTGTCTTAGCTGGGGTTGGTAGGTGCCTTCACTAGGTTGGGTGGTTAACGCTGTCTGCAGATTTAATTGGGGGGGGGGGGGGGGGGTTGAATTATCCTCCAGTTTTTGTTGTTCCTGTTCAGTTCCAGAGGAATGATTTGCATGTTCCG